TGCAAGCTGGGAGAGCCAGACCGCAGTTCATTTCCTCATATTCCAAACGAGAAATTACGGTAGCAAATCACCCGGTTCTTTCCGACCAGAACTATTTACCGGGATACAAACCGGAGGAACCAGGCATGGAGGGAGGTGGCAGAGACAGTGGGTGAAACTGGTAGGTTTTCGCCTGTTTGGGGATTTTATATCCAGTTTACTTCGTTTTAACATTGCTATTGCTTTGTATGTCGGGGGCGGGAGATTCATGTGATTGGTTGTTGGTCGCGTTGCTTGCAAAAAATCGGCAAGCTTCAGACACGCCCAGCTTCAAGATGTTTTGATGCCTGTAGTGTAGACGGGCCGTTAGTCTAGGAGGCGAGCTCGAGTATTGACTCGCGTATATTCAAGAAACCAGATACCTTGCTTGTTCCATTCAGGTGCTTTATTGAAAGGTTCCATCAGCTGGCGGCCCACTTCCGACGTGCAACGTTTGCACGGTATTTAAAACAAATAAACAAACAAGATTCCTGGTCATACGGATGTGTGCGGTCAAAAACGTTTTCCAACTTCCTCTCTAGACTTCCTGCTGTGTCATGCTGGCAGCGTCATTTATACCTGAGCACGCCCCTCCTATTGCTTTGTATAAATAATAACAAACATAAACTAGAGCTGTCCATAAGCAAGATGACATGTTACAAAAACAGTATAATAGTAATTCATAATTATTCAGCTCATTTAAGTTAAATTAAAGAATATTCAATTGGCTCACAAAACCATAATTCATTACCATAAAATAATGTGCCTAAATGGCTCTTACAATTGTATATATAAATAAAGTGAAGGAACAGCAAACCGAGCGGTCTACGAAATGAGAGTCTTCTGGCTTAGTTCAGTAAAGTTGGAACGATATTGGGAGATTCAGATTTCATGGATCAATAACTCATGAACAAAACGTTATTCAGACACAAATGACGTCTCCTAAGTACCGTGGTAAGGTTGACAACGAACTACAATCACATTTTGATAAAAAAAAGCCAATACGCGCCGTCCTCCGAGCTGGACACATTACATTGGTCTCTATCCGCAGCCGGAGAAGAAACGAGTGCTCAGGGACCGTCTGCAAAGTGCAACTCCGAAAAAAGAGAATACAATAATATTCAATCACTATTATACAGTTTATTACTACCAAACTCACCACACACATCAATAGTCTCCTGTTGCTCATACTACAGCAAGGAGTTTGGAAGAATATGCTTTTGAATAATTTTGGGGAATATTTATAATATAAAATCTTCAATAAATATGGCATCATCTTAAATAACTTTACTATTATACAGTATATTTCTACCAAACTCACTATTTGCATTGTTGTTGTTAGCATCTGGTTAGCTAGCTGCACTAACAGATATTAGAAGCTGTTTCTGTCAGACTGAGAGAGATAACTACAGCTCAGTGAGGTAAGGGACTCTCTGAGTGTTTAGATAGTTAACTTTAGTCTAGTTATCTCAGCGGGTCTCAAACGGTTTGGTCACCATTTATGAGAATAAATGAAAAACAGTTATAAAATACTATATGACAGTAAAACAAGAATACAGTTTAAAAGGGAAGTGATTTGTAAAATATCCATAAAGAAAAAGAAAATCTGTTTACAGTTCTGTTTCATATGGATGTATCCATGAATCTCTTAATTTTGCTCTCAAAGTGCACCAGATTGATGAATTTAACTTCAATATTTTTTATAAAAATCTTCCGGGACTCCGGGAGCATGCACCCGGACCCCCCTAGAGGAGGTGAGGTCCACCGTAACACTGTAGGCCTACACATGAACGTTTCTTTTTTCGGTTCACCAAAAATAAAATCTCACTCCAAACTGAACTCAAAAGTTGGCAGCCCTGCTTTAAGTCAAATGTTAGGCTAAGGCAGTCTTTTGTTTATCATTCAAATCTAAATAAAGCAAAGAGTTTATCCCAGGCAAGTCCCCAAAAATGTTACCGGTCTCAGGATTGGGATCCGAGTACGGCTGAGAACAATGACAAGAAGTCACACACATTATAGCATATCGTATCTTTTTGTATGTTCCCCAGGCATATAGCTTAAAAGTATTACTTAAATGCCAAATAGCAAATATCAAATTAACTGAAACTGTCAAATCTAATTTAAAATAAATAAACTTAAATACGTGTGTAATATTCCTTTTTCTTTAGACAACAATACCACTGACAATAACTGAATCATGGTATATTCTGCATATCTACCTCCAGAGGTGGGACCAAGTCATTGTTTTGCAAGTCCGAGTCAAGTCTCAAGTCTTTGCGCTCAAGTCCGAGTCAAGTCTCAAGTCTTTGCGCTCAAGTCCAAGTCGAGTCTCAAGTCAGGTTGGGCAAGTTCAAGTCAAGTCCAAGTCCTAAACTTTGACAAAACGAGTCATAAACAAGTCATTATGTGTTTTTCACCAAATGTAATGACATCGATCAACAGAATAATACTTAATGATCAAATTGCTCTTCATTAGTCAGATTAATAATTTAATAATCAATTTTCTCTCTGCTGGTAAAGTAACATGTGTTTTTCTAATTTAAGAGGGATCAGTAAGGTAAGGCTACCGTGACGTTTGATTCAGAAGGAGTTTAATGTATAAGATCCCTGATGTTGAGGTAACCAGAATGTTTATTTCCACTGTGTACAACATGTTATAAGGGACCCACAATCTATCTTTATGCAAGGGATAATGTGCAGCCAGGCGGTCTGGGGAAGAGAACACCTGCATCTAGATCCCTCTGCAGGTGGTACTTTAACTATATTTCGATGCTAATACTTTTGTACTTTTACTTGTAACATTTTGAATGCAGGACTTTTTATTGTAACCGAGTATTCCTACACTCTGGTACTTTTGTCATCAAGTACAAGATCTGAACTTCTCCCACCTCTGACAGTAAATCCTGAGTGGTTACCAAAATAAAGGTAACCAAAAAAGGTTATTTTCATTTTTACAAATCCTGCACTCAGCTTTGCTTTCTCCAATATCATTGAAAAGCAGCCAGATGCTGCTTCTTTTTTCGGTTTTCGCTAATTTCTTGACTTTTTCTGACGCACTTGCATTTAAATCCGTCTCCCCGTAGCTCTGTGCAGCTGGCCTGTACCACTACACCTGCTGTGCCCCCCACCCTTCTTTCACATAATGGTATGATCCTAGTGTGTCCTCGCATATGATTGGCCGCATGGTGGCCCAGCTAAATAAAGTCCCGCCCCTGCCTGCAAGGATTCTCAGCAAGAGTAGGAGCGGCTGAAGATTCTGCTTTCCCCAACGGGAGTCTTCTCTTCTAGCGGCAGCTCGCGATCGGCGTGTTGGAGACCTCTGAATTAAATGATCAAGTCACCTCAAGTCAGAAGGCTCAAGTCCAAGTCAAGTCCCGAGTCATTGGTGTTCAAGTCCAAGTCGATTCGCAAGTGTTTTGTGATTTTGTCAAGTCGAGTCTCAAGTCATCAAATTGATGACTCGAGTCTGACTCGAGTCCAAGTTATGTGACTCGAGTCCACACCTGTCTACCTCACATGTTACACATACTCTGAACGTGGTATTCACACAAAAACTCATTCCTTATACAACTACACAGAATAACAAGAACACAATAACTCTTCCTCATAACTTATAAAACATTTACAATTAGCCTTAGCAAGGTGCTTAGTTAACCACGATAACATGCTACATGAATACAACACACTATTAGTAGTGATGTTACGTATTGCGCCGAGGCTTCGGAGCGTGTGTCGAGTAATCCCCGAAGCTTTTTGTGAAGCATGTACCGAGGCTTGTATCGTTTTGGGCCAGTGACGTCATCGATGACAAACGAAGCCTCGCTGCCTGTCGATACCACGTGACTGCTTCACGAAGCGATTCAGATCGGTTGAACCACAACGCTCATAATACTCATGGATGTATAATAAGAACCATATTACCCCTCCTGTACCCGGGCCCGGTGACACGATGGAATCAAGAGAGCTCAGATCCTCACTCATATAGAGGTCGGAACATGTCATAAGTATAAATAGATACAAGCATAAATAAATGTAGGAATAAAAACATGAATAAATACAGGAATACATATCTTGCAGTGTTTTCAGGGAGCTTTAGTGTGTGTGCTGTGGCTCAGCTGGAAAGCAGTTGACTCATGACCGCAGGGTCCCTGGTTCAACGACTGAACAATACGTATTTTTTGTTGTTTATAAAAGCTACAGCTAAATTAGATAATGTAGTTAATAAATGTATTCTTTGATATGGTTTAGCCTTTCTCAGGCTACAACATGGTTAAGTTTACGAATATTATTAAGGAATACAAATCCCTCTTTGCAATGTTTAGCAGCCTCCTTAGGATTTTCAATCACAATCATTAAACTGTAATAAATACAATATTGTTAACATAAAAATATGATTTAATGTTCGTTGTTTAGAGTTATTCTAAGGCTTTACTCATTGGAAACTCGGTATGAGATGATAGAGCACACTGTCGAGATGTCCAATCTGCCTGTTTTACACACTTTGACCAACAGGGGGGTTTGTGTTCAAATGAAGCCCATGATGAAGCCTCATTGGCTGGAAAGCTTCATAAGGCTTCATCTCGCCATCACTAACTATTAGCATGGCTAGGCCACTTGTGTAATGAATTAATGTGGTAATGACCTCGCCATTAACATTGAATAAACTATATTCTTCTGTAAACCTTTCACTGAAGCACACCCATTAAAGTAGAACAACATGTATTATCTCATTGCATCACAAGAGTGTATTGCTAACCAGCTACAATAGGAAAGAATACCGAACTAACGGCTCAGTCGCGCTAGCATCGTGAGCTACATGTTAGCATGCTAAACCGAGTGGGTCATTCTTACAAATAACACATCTCCTTGGGTTGAATTGCTCATCAAAACGAGTCTAGTTTCCCCACACTGTCTCTGAAATGGTCCGTGTACATGTTATGACTGTATCTGATTATTTATGCTTTTTTATACAGTGTACCCACCCATCTGAGAACAACGACAAGAAGTCACACACGTTAGCCATTGAATGCTCTGGCACTAACATCCCCGGCCTTGACTTCTTCTTCACTCTGGACCCTAACCAGAATGTCAGATCTCAAGCCAATGTGGGTGTAGAGCACCATCTACAGGTTAAACGGTATATTAGCACATCAATTAAATATCAATATTTGAAATAAAAATGGTTATTATTTTGTAAATAAATAAATGAAAATATATATAGGTAAAAATACACAATGATAACTGGGTCGCTGCGTAGCTCACCTGTTAGCGCGGCAGCCTAGGTACAGGCCACTCTATAGGCGACGTGCGGAAGACACGGGTTCGAGACCGGTCGGCACTGTCAAAAAATATAATAATATTAGAAGTAGATAGAGTTTGACTGTACTTGTACCTCCTTTCAGGGTGAGCTATACGGAGGTTGTTGTTTTATTGTTAATCATAATAGCATGCCATTCAGCGTGACTTATAGGCCTACAACTAAACAACACCAGGATTGTTTTAGCATCGAGCGAGCTAGCTACCGAAACGAAGACTAAAGACAACTGGACTCCACTCGTGTCCCCTGGATGGACGTCGTAACACCAGCATACCCAGCCGGGAGCTAAGCGCAAGACTATGAGGTGTGACTTGTGCCAAAGAACAGATAAGTAAACTAACTGAGCGGAGAACTGACGTGTCAACGTGCGCCAACGCCTCCATCAATTTTGAATGGGTTGACGTACAATACAGGCGACGTCACGGCGACGTATCATAGGTGCGCTCAAAGTACGCGCTCACGTGGCGGCGGCGTAGCTTAGAAAGCCCTATCTTATATATGCGTGTTGATAACGTACGTGTGTATATGCGCGTGAATAACGTACGTGTGGATAAGCGTGTGAATAACGTACGTCTCGCCTCCGTTAGCATTGTATAGTATCTGGTACGGGGATTAATAAGAGTTGTGTCTAGCAGCTCTCTCTCTCTCTCTCTGCTCGGGAACAGCTGATTGCTGCACGGCGATCAGCTGTCCCTCCCTCCCTCCCTCCCTCAAGGTGTGTGTGTGTCTGTGTCTGTGTGTCTCATTCGCTAGGCTTGTTTGAGACGCGTTGCGGCTCGCCTCGAAAGTAGACGAGAATAGCCGATCGCAGCCGGGGGAGGTCTCAAAAAGCTTGCCTGAAGTCGGACAGCTCGGAGTCGGCTTCGTCGTCTTCTTCTTCTTCTTCTTCTCTCGGTTATTTGGCGGATTGCAAACAGCTTGAAGGTGCATACTGCCGCCTCCGGAGTCGGCTTGACTCGGTTTGCATTTATAAAGAATGCACACATGTGTTTAATCGTTAATGTCAGATATGTACTAAGTAAATACATTTGTTCCTGCTCAAGATTAGATTCAACTTTATTGTTATTGCACATATTACAGGTACTGAGACAACGAAATGCACTTTAGCTTCTAACCAGGTGCAACAAGCAGTAAAGTGAAAAGTAATGTACACAATCTACAGAATAAAATATAGAATGAATTGAATGATGAATAAACAGTGAGGGGTATGAACACTAGATATACACAGCAGCCTGAGAGCAGTATGAACAGTGTGTATGAATATGCTAAGATATATAAAGTATGAAAACGGTAAGCAATGCAAGTATAGTATAACATATATGGATATTAATTTAATGATGATAAATATTGTGGAACAATGATGAAAAATGTGAATGGAAGTGGCGACGTAAAACTGACACAAAACAACAACAAACTTTTGCCCAGCCAATTGGAGAGTTTCATCACCCGCACGTGGAAAAAACCACCAATGAGCGCTCAGCTCGAGATACCAGCGAGTCGTTTCCCATCAAGCATTTCGCTTCCGCAGCCCGTGGAGAGGAACTGCGCCGCCTCGCCGCGCCTCGCTCTCAAGGCTGCGGGCGTCTTTGTCCCGCGAGGTTTCAACGTCTCATGTAGGCGAGCCTCCAGAGCAAGTCGGACAAAAATGACTAACCATCATGCAACGCACGAGCAAGACGTTGATCGAAATTGCGCAGGTCTGCGCAGGTCTCGCTTGTCTCAAACAAGCCTACTGTCCCTCAGGTTGCAGCATGTTTCGATTGCCAGTTTGTGGCTTGTGAACGCAACGCTGGCATAATATGATGTGGCCTACTGACATGGCCTCTAATAAACACACAGGACTAAAAATAATACGTGTTTAATTCAGCCCAGATGCGGTGACTGCAGGCCAAATCCATAAATGCGGCATATATTTGTGAAGTTGCACCGGTATGAGGCGCAGTGAGAACCACTCACCTATCAGACTAGCGAATGGGCACATTTCAATTTCAGGAGAATATTGAAGATGTGATTCGTTGTTCCATTCTCCGTTTCTCACGAGACCAGCGCGCTGCTGTTGACATTAGTGTGGACTGGACCGACTGAAACTGACGGCAAGGTTCATTATTGTGGAAGGATGGACCCCCTCCTGCAAAGAAAAGGCAGCGAAATGTGCTAAAATCACTGATTTATTCAGAACCCCCAATGGTATAGAACAGGGGTCTGCAACCTTTTTGACCAAAAGAGCCATTTTGCTCCTTTTTCCAAAAAATGTTTTTGTCTGGAGCCGCAAAACACATTTCATAGTTTTCTATTGTTATATCAGACAAAAACTACAGTTTTTTTGCATTTATTAGGCTATTTATTACATGATATACAACTGTTAACCTCTAATAAGAAACAAAGAACTCTTATAAGGAGAATTAAAAACAATACACAGGCCTACTTTAAAATAAATTAAACACAGCACTTGGGGAGTCCTCTGCACATTTGAAGGAAAAACAAATATTATTAAAATGGGCCCACTTTGAAATAAATAAAACATATAGATGCACCCTAAAAAGAGTTAAAGGTAGGGTAGATAAGAATGGAGAAACCAGCTCGAGTGCGCTAGAATTTGAAAGTACACAACCGGAAAAAATATGCCTCTTCCTTCAGACTTCCTCACAGAGCCCCTCCTCCAACACACACGAACGCGCACATGACCAATGAGGGCACGAGATAAGCTTGTGCGCAGATGGAAGGCTGACAGGCAGTTAGGCCATCCAGTTATTTTAGCTGGGCCGGCTCAGATGATTGGTCGTGCTTTTTACAGCGCTACGGCTTCCAGAGATTAATTTTTGTATGTATTTATTGTCAAAGCATTTAATATATTCATTGCTATCGGGACATTAAGAGCATTCCATGGAATATAACAAAAAGTGTTTTCTGAAATAAATGACATACCCCATTGAATTATGACTGAAGATCGTCAGCTGACTTCCTCTCCCTTGTTATTCCTCGATACGTAAAGGCTGCACCACCGTTAACAACTTCTCTCTACATATCAGACATACCGGTAAACCAGCATCGTTTGCTGTGAAAGCATATAACTCTGTCCACACAGAATTAAATCCTGTGTTCCTCCGGTACTTTTCTTTGATGTATCCATAGTTCGCTCATCGAGCCGGGGGTCAGGTTATTCGCCTCCAAGAAAAGGCGCTCGCGTGGAACCGTAGCAGGATGTGACGCATATTTTAGTTGACCTAATTAAAACCGTTTTGTTTTTTATTTATGTGTCACAGTATCACCTCAAAATACAAGATACGAAACATTTTCAACCATGCAACAAAATATAAATAGTCCTACAAATACTTTTATTTCCTTCTTATTTTTGTCTAAGCTCAAGGGAGCCAGAGCAGAGGGCTTAAAGGGCTGCATGCGGCCCGTGGGCCGCGGGTTGCCGACCCCTGAATGACGAAGCAGAAAGTAAGTGAGCGAACATTATGGCAAGGCAAGGCAATTGTATTTATATAGCACTTTTCAGCACGTGGCGATTGAAAGTGCTTTACAGATTAAAAGCAAAAGACATTTAAGAACAAATACATTATTAAAAAGGCATTTAAAAACAGGCATAATAAGCAAAGGTAATGAAATAAAAAAAAAAAATCAACACAGCAGGTACAGAATACATGACTAAAAAAGGCATAGGCCTACTGTAGTGTGAGTATGGGCAGCTCAATTAAAAGCAGCGGCAAATAGGTGCGTTTTTAGTTTTAAAAATAGGAAGTGTTTCGGCGGACGTGCACGATTTGGGCAGTTTGTTCCAGACGGACATGTTGACCGGCGAAAAAAAATCTAACTGAAACTCTGCTGCACGGTCCCCTCGTCCCTTGGAAGAGGCGGAGAGGTGGGTGTTTGTCATCTGCTGGTGGACTACCGGAGAGAATTACAGTGCTTGCCTTGGGGAGGGAGAAAAAGAGCCACAGCGGAGAATAAACAGAAGGGCAACAATGGCAACCATGCGCAGGAAGTCTTCTTCGCTGCTTTTGTGGCAGACTACAGCGCCACTTACAGGTCTGGCATATGTACTACAGCGTCTCCAGCGCTTTCGAGCGGTCTAGTGTGAACGGACACGTTTCTGGTGGCTGTTGCGTGTGGATGGAAGACTTTTTTGATAACGTTTGCGTTATCGTCCTCGTGTGGCTGGGGCTTTAGTGTGTTCAGCCTGTGCAGTTAGCACCTCCCTCTCCTGCTCCCTGTGCAGCGGCAGCAGCTCCACCTGCTGCATCGGAGCCTCGCTCTCCTGCACCACCTCTGAAATGTGGCTGCCTGTTAACAAGCAGCAACAAGTGAATGCGAGTTAGTATTTATTCATTTTTTCCGCCACCTTGGGTCTTTTGAGGGAATTAAACAAATGTGTCTTTTGTTTGTGTGATAATAAGTGTTGTGCACCATGTTACACCATGGAATAAGTGTTTGCCCATTGCTTTAAGCAGGGCTGCCAACCCTCACGCATTGACCGTGAGAGTCACGCAATTAACCCATATCTGACGACCTCACGCCACACATGCCTTTCCTCACGCTAAGTTTTCCTCCAAAATAAATGTATATATAAATAAAGTGAAGGAACAGCAAACCGAGCGGTCTACGAAATGAGAGTCTTCTGGCTTAGTTCAGTAAAGTTGGAACGATATTGGGAGATTCAGATTTCATGGATCAATAACTCATGAACAAAACGTTATTCAGACACAAATGACGTCTCCTAAGTACCGTGGTAAGGTTGACAACGAACTACAATCACATTTTGATAAAAAAAAGCCAATACGCGCCGTCCTCCGAGCTGGACACATTACATTGGTCTCTATCCGCAGCCGGAGAAGAAACGAGTGCTCAGGGACCGTCTGCAAAGTGCAACTCCCAAAAAAGAGAATACAATAATATTCAATCACTATTATACAGTTTATTACTACCAAACTCACCACACACATCAATAGTCTCCTGTTGCTCATACTACAGCAAGGAGTTTGGAAGAATATGCTTTTGAATAATTTTGGGGAATATTTATAATATAAAATCTTCAATAAATATGGCATCATCTTAAATAACTTTACTATTATACAGTATATTTCTACCAAACTCACTATTTGCATTGTTGTTGTTAGCATCTGGTTAGCTAGCTGCACTAACAGATATTAGAAGCTGTTTCTGTCAGACAGAGAGATAACTACAGCTCAGTGAGGTAAGGGACTCTGAGTGTTTAGATAGTTAACTTTAGTCTAGTTATCTCAGCGGGTCTCAAACGGTTTGGTCACCATTTATGAGAATAAATGAAAAACAGTTATAAAATACTATATGACAGTAAAACAAGAATACAGTTTAAAAGGGAAGTGATTTGTAAAATATCCATAAAGAAAAAGAAAATCTGTTTACAGTTCTGTTTCATATGGATGTATCCATGAATCTCTTAATTTTGCTCTCAAAGTGCACCAGATTGATGAATTTAACTTCAATATTTTTTATAAAAATCTTCCGGGACTCCGGGAGCATGCACCCGGACCCCCCTAGAGGAGGTGAGGTCCACCGTAACACTGTAGGCCTACACATGAACGTTTCTTTTTTCGGTTCACCAAAAATAAAATCTCACTCCAAACTGAACTCAAAAGTTGGCAGCCCTGCTTTAAGTCAAATGTTAGGCTAAGGCAGTCTTTTGTTTATCATTCAAATCTAAATAAAGCAAAGAGTTTATCCCAGGCAAGTCCCCAAAAATGTTACCGGTCTCAGGATTGGGATCCGAGTACGGCTGAGAACAATGACAAGAAGTCACACACA